GTCCGCCTGCCCGGGGAGCACAGTGTCCATGGGGGGGGCTCAGGGGGAAGAACGCGGTGTCCCCTGAAGAGGTGACCTGCCCGCAGGGAGGGGCTTTGTGGGCGCGGTGACTGCGGGGGGCGGGGCCCAGGCTGGGGGGGTCAGGAGAGGGAGTGAGAGACAGATACGTGGGCGGGAGGAAGGGCAGCGAGGGGTCCACAGAGAGGGGCCCATAGAGGGTGGTGGGGGGGACTGGATGGCGACGGTAGGAGTGAGGGGGTCACTCGGGACAGGAGCCTGAGGAGGAAGGAAGTGGAGGAACAGGGAGGAGGGGAGATGAGGCAGAGGAGGTTACAGACAACCAGGCCAGCAGGGGAGGGCAGTTACTGGGATCAGGCAGGCAGGTTGTGAGCGGTTAGGAGTCAGAGTCTTGGATTGTGAAAGGAAGTCCGACTGCGGATTTATGTATAATAATAAAAGGGTAATATGCTGATTAGACTCGACATCTTCCAGACAACCATCTGGACATCCTCTGGACAAAGCCACAGTGGTGGGGGCGGAGGCATGTGTGGTTGGGGGCAACCAGTCTGGCAGGAGAGGGCAGTTAGGATGGCAGTTAGAGGCCACAAGGCAAACAGGGAAGGGCAGTTAGGGGGGACCAGGCCGGCCGGGGAGAGCAGTTAGAGTCAATATGGCCAGCAGGGGAGGGCAGTTGGGGTTGACCGGGCCTTCCAGGGAGGGAGGGCAGTTTGGTGGAACCAGGACTGCAGTGGAGGGCAGTTAGCAGCAACCTGGCGGGTAGGGGAAGGCTGTTGAAGTTAACAAGGCCGGCAGGGGAGGGCAATTCTGGGGTTCAGGCCGGCCAGGGAGGGCATTTAGGTGGATCAGGCCAGCAGGGGAGGGCAGTGAGGGGGATCAGGCCAGCAAGGGAGGGTTGTTAGGGGCAACCAGGCCAGCAGGGGAGTGCAGTTGGGGGCGACTGGGCAGGCAGGGGAGGACATTTAGGGGGATCAAGCTGGCCGGGGAGGGCAGTTAGGGGGATCAGGCCTGCAGGGGTTGGCAGTTAGAGGGATCAGGCAGGTAAGGACAATGGTTAGGGCATGCATGCAGGTGTTCAGATAGGAGCCAGAGGTCCAGCATTGCAAGAGGAAAGTCTGACTGCCCGTTTAGGCCCGAATCATATGGGATTGGGTCTAAACCGTCAGTCAGATATCCCCCAAGGGGTCCCGGATTGGAGAGGGTACATACAGGTCAGGCTTAGGGATCCCCTCCCCCCCACAAATTTCATGCACCAGGCCTCTACTTTTATTTTTAAAGAGTCCTGCAAACCTTTTGTAGACCAGTATTCCAGCCACACACATTGTCATTAGTCATTCAGAAACATGTTTCCCTAAACACCCTGCCTCCAATGTGTAGACAGGGTCTTGTGCAGAGATTAGAATCTCATGCTATCCATCTGCTTTATGCTGGCCTGAAGGTCAC